CTAATCCGATTACTGCTGAGACAGCTTTTACTAAAATCTGATTAAGCTAGGGAATTTTTTGAAATGGGTCGATTGAATACCACTGTTCAGTAGGATTTCCAATTCGACAACTTATCGTAAACGGGAGCGGTGCACTTGGACACGGTACATTTGGACACAGCCAATCACAGCACCGTGTGATTAGAGACATTTGTAGGGTCCCTTGGAACAGCGACTTGTGATTGGACTGTGTCCAATTGCCCCGTGTCCAACTGATATACACCCATCGTAAACACCCAGACTTATTTGATTGCGTGAACAATGAAAAAGTTCACGTGAAATCGATAGAGCGAAAAGTGAAAAGTGAAAAGATTCGCTCGAAGTTACGTGATCGCTGGCCAGTTCAGCAGTGCAGCTGAAAAGAATAGACCAAGTATATGGCACAGATGTCTATTGATCTATTCTTTTCAGCTGCACTGCTGAACTGATGTAATAAGTTAAAGTGAGACAAGTATATGTTTTCTCACTCTAACTTATTGCACCAGTTCAGCAGTAGCTGGAAAGAACAGACCATATACTAAACTAGATTACTAATGCAGGATTCACACCGCGTCCGATATCCAATGGGAGAATAGCTTTATAATATAGAATTAGGCTGCGTTCCGAAATGTACTGCCAGTATTGAAAATCTATAGTTTATGTTACGTATATTATAGAATTTCAGTACTGGCAGTGAATTCGCAGCCTTCAATTCTCCATTGGAAAGCTATTCTTTTATTGGATATCGAATGTCGTATGTTGGACATCGGACGCGGTGTGAATCCTGCATGAGGTTGCGTTCCTTTTGGGCGCTCATGCGCTGTCATTCTATCTTTATCACTCATTAAATGCGGAAGAAAGATATGGCTCTTGCACACAGGACGCGGTAATACTTGCCACGCGGCGAAAGTTTGCGCGACAACCAATCAATATGCTGCTTTCCGTAATAACTTTGTAGCTCTTACGAAAAAACAATATATTGATTGGCTGTCGAACTTCCGCCGCGAACTTCCGCCGCGCAGCAAGCATTACCGCGTCCTGTGTGCAACAACCAATAGAGTGACGCTTATAATCACTTTAAACGCGTGAAAACGCCCAAAAGGAACACAGCCTATGACTGCGTTCGCTTTTGCAGGATTCACACCACATCCGACGTACAACATCCAATATCCAATAAAAAAATAGCTTTCCGATGGAGAATTAATGGAGGATTCATCGACCGCGTCGATGTCCGATTTGTATGTACTTGACCGGAAAAAAAAACTCCGGTTGGAAAACTATTCTTTTAAATCGTTTGTACTTCGTATAAAGAGTTTTAAAGTGCAATTGAAAAGATTTGTGAGTCATTCTATTCCTTTTAATTAATTGTTCTTTTTTGGACCATGTATTTAGCCGGAAATAAAGTCCGGATCCAGACAGCACAAGAACTTCTGAGAACGTTCCAGGGATATTCTGAGGATATTGGACATTCTCAGAACGTTCCCTGGATATCTGTGCTGTTAGGGGAGGTAAATTAAACAAAGGTTCGGTATGGTATCGTTTGTATTTCGTATGAAGAGTTATAAAGTATCATTAAAAAGGTTTGTGAGTCATCCAGATAATTTTAATTAAATATTAAAAAATCATATATTTGGCCGAAATATCGATCTCAAGCACTGCTGTGGAAATACCGTCAGGCACGATCGGTGTACTATCTAGTATTTCAATATTCCTGGTTCT